CGATAAATCGGGTCGGGCTGCGTCGGCCGACGCTGTCTGAGTTGGCCTTAACATTTCAGTCTATGCTGATGTCACAACTCTTTCATTGTCATACATTCGTGCACACAACCGGCAACACTATGTAAAAATTCTCAATTCAACCCCAGGAAGACTCAACTGCTTACCATCAGTCGGTCTAAAAGCTGTGAATTTCCATCTATTGAAATGGCCTCCTCTCAGCTGGATTCATTCTCTTCATCTCTGAATTGAAGGAATCACAATAAAAGCATAGCTAGGAACACTTCACAGAAGGTTGGATGCTTGTACCGGGCCAGCAGATTCCTTACAGCTAAGGCAGTATTTCATTTGTACAAATCAACCATCAGATCCTGTTTAGAGTAATGTTCCCATATATGGTCTGGAGGTCCCGCCTGTCATGTTTCTCTTCTTGACAAAATCCGGCGTTGAGTTAACCATCTGATCGGACCAGAGCTTGGTTGCAGTTTTTAACCTTTGGCTCATTGGCGCAATATCTCAGTTTAATCTATGGTTATTTTAAATCGTCAGTGCTCCGTGGAGCTTTTTCGACTTATGTCATCTGTACGTAGGTTTTCCAGAAACTCCAGACTGGCTTCGATTTTTCATCCATTCTTCCTTGAACTTCCTAAATGCAGAACTTGTACTTTTTCAAATTCATTTGTTTGTCGTTCAGCTTCCCTTTGGAATTTGTTATCAGCCGATTGTTTTCCCATTTCCTTTAACCTTGCTAATTTTAAATCTTATGACCGCTTTCTTTTTAACAATTCTAACCTCTTACTTTCAGTGGGGCTTGGCTTGTTTGGGGTGATTGAGCAAAAAACAAAAAATAAAAAATAAAAAATAAATTTTAAAATTTTAAAAATAAGGTTATAACACGCGTTTCCTATACTTTATTTCACATCCAGGCACTTTGCTCTCTGGGGCGTTCAAGTTGCTCGCTTACATTGCGCCCATGCCGACTACAGCGGGCGTAATGTTGTAGCGATAGGAGTTACTTATACCATCTTTGGTATATACTTGTACAGTATTAGTACAAATGGGGCAGTTGCATTTGCAGTAGGCCTAATTTCTTTATTTTACAAATAATTTATTACCTATCGGACTAAATTGAAATTGCAGATAAGATAGTATAATATAATCATTTCTGATGATGGCATAATTAATGTCGAAATATTGAATCCCTACAGATGGCGTGCATTTCGATACTTGGAGTATGTATTATACCTCATCTGAGATTATTCAGTGGACCTTTCGGTAAATTGAAATTGTGTCTCTAAAATAAATCTATTAATTTTCAGAAAGGCTTAATAAGGATATCGACTTTCATTATGGATAGGCCAACTCTTATGATTGTTGGAAGTCATTGTAATCTTGGAAGCAACCTCGACCTTGGTTTGGACATTACAGCAATTATAGACATATTAGAGTAGGTTGATGTCTATCAAATAATTAACTAGAGCGCATTCTGGGAGTACATACATCTACCCACATCATAATGTTCCTCTATAAATTTCCCATCCATATTGTTATTTTTAGTATGAACAATGAAATACAAGATAATAAAAACAAATAGATATCAACATTTAGTCACATTTTTGGTCATTGAATATTGTGACCAAATTGACGAATTTCTGACAAAAATTGTTGACTGTAGGCTGTAAGTAGTTTTTCGTCGATTGTAATCTTGAACTTAGACCTTGATCCTTCAAAATATAATAACCTACATGTCTTGGGTCATGGATAATTGTAACCAAGTCTGACGAGTTTCTGATTAAAAACAATGGCCTGTAGGATTGTTCAAAAACAGACAAACACATACACACAACAATTAAAAACATTTATATTACTAAAAAAAACCTTGCAATTTTTTTTAAGAGTTGGGAATCAATCGGTACGAAATCTCTTATATTGGCACATGTATTATATTATCAAGACATACGTGGAACCTAAAATCATATATCCACGTATGTCTTGAGAGTATAAAATGAGTACGAATGCACAAAGTGGAGACGTATACGTTGACATAATAGACATACGACAAGTATGCAATATATACACGAACGAATACATGTCTAGACGTTAGAAACACTTTATTATAGGAAACCATATTCGACTTATCATTATGTCTTTATCAAGGTGCATGAAAAAATGGCAAAAAGTGGACACACATAACCATTTTAGTGGGTGGAGTTGAATAATAAACAATAATAATAATAATAATAATAATAATAATAATAATAATAATAGATGGATTTATATAGCGCAAATAAACGAGGTCTCTATGCGCTAGACAATAATGAAGTCAAGAACACAAAGAAAAAAGCCGGGGAAAAAAACACCAAGCTAGCACCCACACCGAAGTATGTGGTTACACCATCACCGCCAACCGGAGATCTGTGTTTATGTACTCCGGTTAGCATCGGTTAAGTCTTGATCTTTTCTGGGATCAGGTGCCTCCTAACCTGGAACAAACAACACTAGCTAGCAAGGTGAAACAGATAAAAAGAAAAAAAGAAAAGAAAACAGTAGCTATAAAGAGGCAAATAAAAAGGTTTTGAGTCTATAGGACTATAATGAAAGTGATATTGCAAACAAACAGGCTAAAACAATGTAAGTTAGATACTGATATATCGGGTGTACATATAATAAACAGTTTGTAATGAAATGGAGATTAATATTAGTTCCCATAGTATGCCGTCTGTATAAAAAAATAGTATATTAATACCAAAAGTCACTGTAAAAACAGGAAATTGTAAAACATAGCAAAACATTTTGGCCACAATAAATGACGCAAGTGTATGTAATATAATTTAAGTGAAATGTATGTGGCGAGTTAAATAAATATAATGTATGAAATAAATCAATAATATGAAAAAGCATAATAAAAATGAGTATAGCATAGTGATAATATCAAATCAGATCAAATATGCATTTATTTTCCATACAATACAGTAATACGAAAGTATAATACATACTCCAAGTATTGAAATACACGCCATCGTGTTGGTATGTCGAAATATTGAATCCATACACGATGGCATGTATTTCAATACTTGGAGTATGTATTATACTTTCTTATCTAAGATTAATCAGTGGACCTTTCGGTTTTGTTTTATACAGTAATACAGTATACAATAACAATGAAAATTTAAACAAATACATTGTATGGAAGGAGGCTACATTAAGTTCTAGTAGAGCTTTAAGACGTAGCCACCTTTAATAAAAAAATTTAAAAAAAGTTGGAAAAGTGACGGGTACCAATGTTTAGCTGTATTTAAACTAATATAATTACAGAATGATATAACAATAAAATAATAATAATAATAATAATTAATTGTAATGATTCCAATCCAGTTTTGAACACAAGACCAGACACATTATTTCAAGACTTAAATAGAAATGAGAGGAAGAAAAGAAAAAAGATAATTAATTAATTACCATACACCGAGACCAAAGACTTCTTAAGATGATATTTAAAACTATTCAATGTAACTTTATTTTTTAGGTCATCAGGAACATTAGCCCATAATTTCGGACCGCAAAAGAGAACTGAAAAACGCCTGATACTAGATGTGCACGGAGTACGAGAAGTATAATTGATGCTAGAAAATCTTGTATTATATTGATGACGTTAAGATGCTCTTGTATAAAGATTACTGATGTTGGGTGGTAAAGTATTATGCGATAAACGATACATAAAAGCAGCAGTTTGGATTTTATGTAAATCATATACATGTAAAACATTAAAGTGATAAGAAAGGTGTTTGGTGTGAGCTATAAAAGAATCACCTAAGCAAATCCGAAGGGCTCGTTTTTGAAAAAGCTGGACTAGGGACATAAAGTTTCAAACTTATTTAAAGTGATTCCCCATGCAATATTGCAATAAGAAATATAAGGTAGTACTAAAGTATTATATAAGGTTAAAAGAATTTTTGATGGAAAATAGTGCTTAAGCTTCTTTAGAATACCAATGTTACGTGCAATAATATTGGATACCTGGTGGCCATGCGGTTTCCAAGGAAGTTTGGAATCAATGGTGACACCCAGAAATTTAGTCTCGTTTACACGAGTTTTTATGTTATCATCAAATAAATTGTCATTAGTGTTAATATAATTTGCTGATTGAAAATAATGTAATTACTTTTCGAGGTGTTCAATGACAGTTTATTATGTTTAAACCATGTAGAGACCTTATTTAACTGATTGTTCATGGTATTTAGTAGTAAATTTTTATTCTTATGAGAAAAAAACAATCATCGGCAAATAGAACAAACTTGAGAAGATTAGAAAAATTGGGAAGATCGTTGACATATATTAAAAACAGAAGTTGACCAAGTATCGAGCCTTGAGGCACACCACAAGTTATTGACCCGAGGCAAGAATCAACATTATTGACAGTAGTATACTGACGGCGATTTGGTGAGGTAGCTTTTTATAAGTTGAAGTTGAAGGCCTCTGATACCGTAATTTTTAGGCTTAGAAAAGATCCAAGTATAGTAAGTGACCAAAATAAAATCTAGTGCAAAAAGATAGGTAAAACGATATGGAAGAAAAAAAACAAGAAAATCAGAACAAAAACAATGGCCTTTAATGCTACTTCTCGGAAAAGCTAATAAGTACCGTAAATTATCAATGTTAAACTTTTAAATTAAAATTGAAGAGCAAAGTACAATATATCATTTTATGCAACATAAACTACATCTATAAATACATTGTGACGTAGTGAGGGAAATAAAAATTGTCTTTTTTTCAACAGGCAACAAATTAGTTATAAGGCATTAACTTAAAGACAGTAAAGTAATGGAATGCATATGGTAAGTCTATAGTATAAAGTGCGTACTTTGTACTTACCACTAGGCGTCAAAAAAACATCATGCGTCCCATTCTCAATAAAATATCTTTCAATTGTCAAACGTTCTGAATCTTTCCAATAGATAGTTGAACTGATTTCATCATAAACAATGCCACTAGGTCTGTTCACCATTGAATAAACGGTTGTAAAATTGATAACTGTGTCATCAGTCTTAATGTTGGAAATCAAAATTGACGGAGGAAAGCTTCCAGTTGCAACAATTACATCACTACCTGTAAAAGTAGAAATCACGCTGAGGTACTATGTACATATTGTAAAACAACCCCCCAAAAGCTGTCATAAATTCAACAAGATATCAATGTGGTAAAATTTTAGATCATAAATACAAATACGTTTTATTGCGTTTTCGTTCTTCATTGGCGTTTCATAAGCCTAATTAGATTTATGAAACAAAATATTTCAAATTGACCACGTTAACTCCAAAACGTAAATCTATTAATATATTAAATTTAGATTTATTATTATATCTTGATATTTATTTAGATTTATGCCCATTATGCAGTTTCGACTGTATTCTTTATAATCCTTTTTTTTTTTGTAAACATTTTAAACCAAACTTTTAAAATAGTATGTCTTAGAAATTACATTCTTTCAATTGACATTCCGGAAAGGTCTATTATTGTAATAACATAGTGTTATTCTTCATTATACTATTATAGTGAATATAAACAGTTTTAGTAGTAACATTATTATTACGATTATCGCCATCTTCTGATCATCCTAATCAATCAACATTATTATTATTTACGATTAATTTTTAATAACACGGAGCGATGGAATTTATAAATTTATTTTAATATTTGATTTTAAAAAAATTAAGAACATTACCTAATGATAAACCGATTACTAGTAATACCAAAAATACCAGGATACATGGCATGATAATGCAGCAGTTCCTCGCCATTTGGTTTCTACAAAGGTAAAAAGTAAATATTACAATTTTATTCTTTAGGTAGACAATATAGAGTAATTATAAAAGAAACCATTATAAGAAACTTATATCTATATACATTTTTAATCTTAAATAATGGTAAAATATTCTAACTTGTTCTAACTTACTTTCTTTTAAATATTTCTAGATGATTCTGTTTCAAGTGTAGGCCTATGAGCAACTATAGATTATTTGTAATCTTATAGAAAATTGGTGGACGTGTTTTTGTGGAGTATTTGCGCTTTTTGTCTGCATGGCACTGCAACAATGGCACTATATAAAAAACTGGATTATAGAATACAATATCCTGGACAAGTCAAGTCATTTTTGTGTGTGTGTGCATTTTTGGCTCTGGATTTTTGCTTTGAGATCGTAAAGGTAGCCCATAATTGAAGGTCTCCAGTCACTTGATATTATCCAAATAATTCTTATTAAAACCCCGTATCAAACACCACGATACAAAAATATCGAAAGGCCACGTTCGAATTTAAAATATTATTCAATTTTATTTTTTCTTTGTCTTCGAATAGTAAAATGCCGCTCCATTTTGGACTTGGCAAACAGGTTTCGTGTACTTATTGGCATGGGACGTCCGAGTCTCATTACAATTCAACATTTATCACTGTAATTTTCAATTTAATCCAGGCCTATAATTACACACTATAATTTTACCTTCGTAAAAAGTGCGTTATATGTCAGATTAGTATGATTTAGCAGTTTAAAGTATCAATCAATGGGCGTATTTTCGTTGAGTATTATTTTAATTCGATTGGTTCGTAAAATAGACTTCGTTGACCACGAAAATTTACGTAACCAGAATGCGTTAATCAGCGTTAAGTTATGCACGTGACAAAAACAAATATGGCCGATTGGTGAGTTCAGCAACAACATTTGCGTTAATATAATTTAGATTAAATTTCAGAATAAAAATTATAATATTTACCCACATTGAAGTCAAAATATAATTGTAAGCTAACAGAATTTAAAAAAGTAGCCTTGATTACGTGTATCGCGGTAACTATGCAGCCACTTTGTTTTGTTGAGTATTTACCAGTTTTCTATTCGACTGGTAGGATTTTACCACTGCGCAGGTGGGCGTGGTTTAATGGAGGACGACCAGTCGAATACGGCCAATGCAATTACTTTTTATTTATGTCAACTGGCATTATAAACGCTAAATTACATGAGAATACATTTAATACATTTAAAAAAAAGAAATACATAAGCCGTAAAACATCATAAAATAATAAAATTATTTATGTAAAACATTATTCTATTTACAAAACTAGAAAATTATAATTAATTAGGTCAAACATTTGAATTCTATTTACATAACTTATCAAATATTAAAATATCAAAAGTTATTAAAAAAATAGATTATTTTTTTATATAAATATACACATTAATATCAAAATATTTACAATTAAAATATATGAAAAAATGTCATATAATTATTTTATATTTTAAAAAGGGAAAATAAATTGAAAGGCAAATAAATTGAATCTAGAGCCTCGCCTATGCACTGATATGAAAATTGTAAAATAAAAAAAATAGCCGTTTTAATTGTTAGCTAGTGAGAAATGGAATGCCGGGTCTTATCTATTGTTCTGATGCTTGAGAACTTGGTGTGTATTCGTGTGCCTAGGATTCATACGGTGGGACCGGCTGTTTTGAAAGTACAGGTAGCGAATTTAGGGAGGGTTGAGCTGGCCCTGCACTACTTTTTTTGTTGGATCGTCAAAAACAAAGAAATTATTGAACGACCAAAACGCCTTACAGGTTATTGCCCGGCGTCTAGTAAACACAAATTTCTTGATCGGCCCCACCCCTTCCGGCCTCTCTCTCGGGAATCTCTGTATCCGCCCCTTGATCCAATCCTTATATAACTATCTGAATTACAACAGTTATATATTAGCAAACTCACAAATGGATTCGCCTTTCCTCAAGCGTTTGGAGACCAATAAGATTTAGTGCGTACAATGTATGATTCGTGCCAACAATGATAAGGCTGGCTCTTTTTCGGATCATTTCAATCTGCTGAGATTGCTGTTTGGTATTGCTTCCTCTTCAAACACAGGTGCAAGGGCGGTGCTAGGGGGGGTTCCTTGGAGGGGGAAAAGGACCCCGTCGGGTACCTCTGGACCCCTGCTTGGACCCCCTGTCGCGGAATTTCCAGCAAGTTCGTCGGGGAAAAATCCCGGGCGCCATAATCATCCTTTAAATAAATAGTCCATAATTAACACATTTTATTATTTACTAATATCTTTATTTACTAATATCTTTAGCCAGGATGACACAATCATTTTAAAGAAATGTTTTTTATTGTGGTCCTTTTGATTAAAGAAAATTCCCGACAGATCTAATTTTTCTCCGACAGGGGGTGGGGGTGCTGAAGGGTTAGACTTCCCTTACGGGGGAGGAAAGTGGACTCCCTTGTCGGGGAGCTTGGTGCTCACTGCACAGGTGATTCGTATTCAACAGTTTTAAGGGACGACGGAACATATCCGGTATTCACTGACACCAAATCCTTGACTGGAACTCCAAATCGCTTGAAACGACTCAGCTTATACAACCTACGGCTGCTCTTAGATACCATTGTGTTAAAATTGCGTCTCCATAGCCTAAGTTAGGCTGTACAGTAATTCATAAGATTTTGGTCTCTGTTTCTTCTTAAGCACATAATCATTTACCATAAGATCGGGAGGGTTTGGGGTGACTTTTTAAAGCAAACGAGCAAAACCTTGCATTTATGAGTGAATTAATGGTGGTTGCAATTGGCCCAATGGTCCCAATCGTGGACATCCGTTTGTATACATGTTGGCACACCAGCAAGACGGATATCAACCAGGCTTGCATCGTCCACAAACCTAAAAGAAGGGGATTAGGCATCCTCAAGTGTGAGTTTGGTGGTTACAATTCCAAATCGTGGACATCCGACTCTATGCAGGTTGGAGGTTGGCTTAAATTGTCAGCATAGTTACAGTAAAAGAGGAGGTTGTGCATTCTCAGAAGCATCATTGATTGTGGCATTAAAGATGGCAGGCCATAAGTTTGTGCTCTATCGGATCACGCATGAATGTGTTAACCAGTCAGATAGTGTTGAATGGTATTGCACCGACGTCGGGCAGTGAGGAAGTTCGCAATCACCAGTTGACAATCACGGTAAGATTTCCTACCAGACCAAGATGATAAGACTTCCGGACTGCCAACATACGGAGCATTGAATTGACCTTCTGAGTTAATGAGTTTTGATAATGATTTTCGTGGAAACACTGAATAAAATAATAAGAGGAGTTTCCGAGATAGTATCTCACTAACACATGTTTCCGAGATAAATTATCTCAGTACCACGTTGTTAAACTATATAGTATATCCAGGGGTGGTGCCAGCGTGGGGCCTGGGAGAGGCCGGGAGACGGGAGAGCTCCCCCCCCCCCGTCGTGGAGAGGCTTCTCATCCCTCCCCCCGGTCAGGGAGAAAAAGCACAATTCGTCGGGGAGAAAACATTTTTTTCTACATATTAGTAGACTCTAAAATCGATTAAATAAGCATTTGAAACCCCTAAATTCTAAAAATTTCGGGCAAATCCTGGCGCCACCCCTGAGTATATATCGGTAAACTTTGTGTAGAAACTAGGCCTACATAATTTTGGGCACTGTGGCTCAGGCAAGGACAGCGAGTTTACGATAGGGCCAAATGCCTCGGGAACATGTGTTTTCGGGAAAAGATATCTTAGAATTCAGTGTTACCGTGATAACTTACCTCGAAACACGAAATTCCAAGTTAGCTTATCTCGGAAACACGTTTTACTGAGATAATTTATCTCAGAAACACATGTTACTGAGATAATATACCTCGTAAAGCATATGAGATTATATCTCAGAAACACGTGTTACTGAGATAGGCCTAATTTATCTCGGGAACACGTGTTACGGAGATTTTTTTGGGAAAAGATTTTACTTCATTCCGTAGTTCAACGATAATTATCATGGAAAATCAGTAATTCAGAAGGTCAGTTTAAAGCTCCATACCCAACGTATAATCTATATGCAATCAAAAGCTTTGTAGAAGTCTGTCGCTACCAGTACAGCGTGACAGCTGTATCTGGTTAGTCATTACCCTATCGATGGTATCATGTAGTGTAATTAAACATTGGGTGGTTGACGAACCCTTAATACTGCGGTACTGATTGCGAGATTCGACAACATTATTTTAGACCTACTTAGAGACAAAGCCTTAGAAAACCTTTGCGAGAATGGCCGTTAACGAGTGAACGAGTGAAGTTGAATAGCTCAGTGGTTAAGATGCTTGCCTCTGATCCCACGGTCCTGGGTTCAATTCCTGTCACAACAGGACTTTTTCTCACGACAGAAACAACTCCACTCCCTAAGCCTCATAATAGAGACTTCGCTGATAAAAGCATCACATTATTTCATTTATATAAAAGAGGGCCACTGAACATCAGCCGACCTTGTTGGACACGCTGGAAGGGTCACCCTCTATAAATATGGTTTTAAAAAAATATAAAAAAACGAGATTGGTCTGAGTTTGCTTATTTTAGACGGTAATTGTTTGGGCATTGGAGCGATAATCTTTCCACACTTTGGTTACGGACCCTCAACTAATGGTGAATTAAAAATTGAACAGCCTTACCTGTAAGGTGCAGTTTGATGGACATTCTACCATATTTGCAGTGGCACTTCAGGGTTAAAATGGGAACACATCCAGTCGCCGCAAAGGCATAATTTAAATTATTTTGTGCAAATTGTTGCGCAGCAAGGATGGTGAAGGGCGTGAGATACAGGGATGGGCATGTTAACCCTTAAGTGCCACTGCTAATAGAGTAGAATTTGCATCAAACTTCACCTTACAGGTATTAGCCTTGTTTAATTTTCAATTCCACCAAATCTGCAGTGATGCAGTTTCAGGCCAAAATGAGACTTTAAAGCAACAATACTTTGAAACTTTATTCCAAACCGCACTCTCAAAAACATTTTTATAAATAAATAAATTTCATTTTGGTGATAAATGAGAGAGCTTCATCCAAAACAAAATATAATAATTTGACTTCCGTTGCTTTTCCATTTGGTTCATCTCCAATTCTTAAAATTAACGGTGTTTATTAATTACTTTATTTCTAGCTTTAAAAATGATATATTTTTATTTGTTTATATTTTAACACAATCTTGTTAACTTTCATCCAATTATACTGTATCGATAATTCCTTGTTCATAATAACACAAAGCTTGTTGGACATGTCTATGAATATAAAATACATTTGTATCATCAGCATACATATTATCACAATAATGTTTACAAGCAAGGTTGATATCATTGATAATATGGATCCTTCAGGAACTCCAGTATTAATTTATTTCAGGTATATATTTATTCAATCAGACATACAACAAAGTAAATTCATTACAAAATTACTTTAAAAAGAATTACATTCAAATGTACAAATCTATATATAAAATTATTCATTATAAAAATTACTCATTGCAAAATCATTTAAAAATTACAATTCTATATACAACATTATTCATTATAAAATTATTCATTCATTAACGAAGAACATTCGACAACAGTAACCTTTGGCAATAGAGATTGAATTGGAGGCTACTGGGTTAAAATAACATTACTGTACACAGGAACAACAAACAAAAATGCCAATAATAATAACTTTATTACCAACAGATGTATATTGCTGTCTGCTTTATACATAATTTGAAAACCATTCTACATACATGCCAAGTTAGATAAATAACTTTGGCCCATCTTTCATTGATTGGGTCAATGTTTTGTATACTGAGACGGAATGCATTATAACGAATAATGGTTGGCTATCTAGGAGTTTTAAAATGAATAGGAGCATCAGAAAAGGCTGTTCTTTGTCTGCTCTGCTATTTATAATGGTTGCAGAAACAATGGCAATAAAATTAAGAAGTGATGCTCTGATTAATGGTATCATGTTACCAAGTAAATAAGACTTAGTAATTGAAGTCAAAATAGCCCGACTAGACGATGATACGGTATTGTTTGTGAAAGATGAGTTGGGGATTAAAAGGAATATCTCAAAAATCGAAGAGTATGGAAAGCTTTCTGGTTTAAGCATTAACAAAAAGAAAACAAATGCCATGTGGTTAGGTGAATGGAAAATAAGAAAAGATGAACCGCTTGACATAAAGTGGATTTACAATGCCTTTAAAATAATTGGTATTTATGTTGGTCATAATCAAGTTTTTTGTCGTACCAAAAACTGGTCTGGAAAAAATGAATCATTAAAACATCTACTTTCTTCATGGCAAAAAAGAAACGTGACTTTCTTTGGAAAAGTTACAATATTAAAAACACTTGGACTTGCAAAACTTATATACAATGCAAGTATTATTGAAATGACAGAACTTTATATAAAACAAGTTGAAAAGATTATTTTTGATTTCCTGTGGAATAAGAAGACAGAAAAAAATAAAAAGACGTCTCTTATACACATCTAGATGTGTATAAGAGACAGCTCCTATTCCACATACAATGAAAGTCGACCGGGAAATCATATTACAGTAGCGGTTACAAATTAGCCCTTTGACTTAGTGGTAGTACATAATGTAGGGATGAAAAAATCCCATTTACTGGAAATCTGATTTGACCTCTGTGACATTTAACCTCAATTTTTATGTTTTTATTGAAAGAAAATAAAATCACCATATCTCTGTAACGTTTCGACCTATAAAGATATTTTGGTGTCAAATTGATCAGAACACATACATTTATATTCGCTCTAATACAAAAAATAATCTTAAAAATCATGTTTTTAGACAAAAATATGAAATGGTCATATCTCCACAACTCTTAGGTCTATAGAAATTATTTGGGTGTTAAATTGCTTAAAGCACATGCATTTTATTTCGCTCTAATGCCCTACAACGTTTTGCATGAAACCCAATGATTATCAAGATTTTTCATAAAAATCATATTTTCTGGCAAAAATATGAAATTGTCATATCTCTGCGATGCTTAGGGTTATAGAAATTATTTTAATGCCAAGTTGTTCAGAATACATATATTTGTATTCTCTCTAATACAACTTTTTGCATGAAACTTAATTCCTATGAAAAGAAACCATTATTAGAACATCATATCTATATATATTTTTAATCTTAAACTATTATTTGGTAAAGTATTCTAAATTGTTCCTAACTTACCTTTTTTTTAAAAAAATATTTCTAGATGACTCTGTTTCAAGTGTGGGCCTATGAGCAACTATTAATAAATTAAAATCTTTCTGATTACGTGCGAACTTATATAGTGTCAACTTAGTTACAGTATGTTCAAATAGCCGTGTCTTTTTTGTTTTTTAGTTATTGTTTCTGTTTCGCTCAGTAAGTTTTATTATACTATAAGAGGCTGTTGCTATAGAACATTGCTATTGGGGGACATGTTTTTGTGATGTCCTACCACTTTGTGTCGGCAAACAATAACACTATATAAAAACCTGGATTATAGAATGAAATATCTTGGCCAAGTCAAGGAAAAAGTGATTCCGTTTTTTGTGTGCATTTTTGTCTCTGGATTTTTGCTTTGTGGTCGTAAAGCTAGTCCAGAATTGAAGGTCTCGAGTCACTGGAAATTCGTATTAAAACCCCACTCGTATCAAAAACCACGATACTAAAATATTCAAAGACCAAGTTCGATTTTAAAATATTATTCAACTTTTTTGGTGCATGCCTTCGTATAGTAAAATGCCACTCCATCTCGATCTTTGCGATCAGAATTCGTATAATAATTGGCATAGAACGTCGGACTGGCATTACAATTCAAAATTTATTATTGTAATTTTCACTTATTATTTTTGTCAGTCCAGTCAATAGCTGGCTCTTTCCTCTGAGAATTCTAAAAATTACAAATTAAAAAACCGAAAGATTTATTGTCACAATAGTGTAAAAAAGTCGGAGGGACCCCTGCTCTTCTAACTCATCTGTGGTACACATCTTAGTTGACATGGTCAGACAATTTACATGCTTCAAGGGCTCCGACTGTTCTCTTAAACCAGGAACCCTCACAACCTAGTTACACCACCGCAAAGGAAGTAGCAACAAAAAATTTAAGGGAGTTTGTACGAGTGTAGAGCCCACAAATGTAAAAATCTACCACAAACGTAAAAATAACCACAGTGTCAAAACATTCTACGCACAAATGTAAAAATAACCGCAAATGTCATAACATATCAACCACAAATGTAAAAATAACAAATGTAAACAAATCGCCCAATGTAGAAATAGGCTCCCACTGGTAGCAGGGGTGGCGCCAGGATTTGCCCGACGTGGGGGCCGAGGTTCCCGACGGGGGGAGGGGTCAATGCCCGCGACGAGGGGCCAGATTTCCCCGACGAAAGCAATGTGGGCGTGGTCGAGCTTCGATTAAAAGGTTCCGAAAGTGGTCCAGGGGAAAAATTTACAATTTAGGTGTTTCAAAAGCTTATTTAATCGATTTTAGAGTCTACTAATATGTAGAAAATACATATATATTTTTTTCTTCCCTACGGGGGGGGGGGAGAGCTCTCGCTGACGGGGAGCTCTGGCCCCCGGCTGGCGCCACCCCTGGCGGTAAAAATGTGTTTACTGCTGCATTGGCTTATTAAAGTACACATGACTTGACTGAAATTACTGTAAACTTTTGGTTTGGGCACAGTAGGCCTACAGTACATTATATAGGATATGTGTCTTGAGTATTGGGTGTTGTATATTCGTTGCTGATGATGATTATTTGTGAAAAATTTAAACCTATGCGATGTTGGCTTTGGGGAACATAGAAAAAATTATAAGATTATCACTCTTTTAAAAAGAAATCGATGAGGGAGGGTGGTTTTTTTTTTTTTTTTTTTTTTTTTTTTTTTTTTTTTTTTTTTTTTTTTTTTTTTTTTTTTTTTTTTTTTTTTTTTTTAATCGAACAATAGTTTATTTCGCTTCTGAGTTTATCGATGAGGGGGGGACTGTTTATATTTGGCTAGTAATAGTAAACATTTTTTAAATTCCCGCATTAATATTTCCCGAATTTTTGACGCGGGCCGGGCGGGAGTGATAATCTAAATAAAATTTTCTATTTGCCTTATGTGCTAGAACCTGTACTATTATTGTGAATAATTAGTGGACCTTTTGATGTCACATTATCGTTGGGCCTACTCATAGTGGTGAATCGTAGAGGGTTCTGCGTTGTGATGTCGTTGGGAGCTGTGGAATTAGCGGGTCAGTCAGTAAAATATCAGTGAATGATATATGGTAAGCGGTGTGATTAATGTAGGTCATGAATATCTCGTGCACGGTACTTAACATTTGAAACTCGTGCTATGTATGAACATGTGTATGGAGTAATGGTCAAAGTGTCGTTTATAAAATATCAAAATTAGGGGTTAGGGAAAGTAGGCAAAATGTTAAGTATGTCATTAGGCCTACCATTTTGTGTGGCTTTCGCAAGTCATTGCCGTGGGCGTAGTTTCTGCTACAGAGCAGGATATAATGGCCATTGGGGAATCGTCGCTCAGTCGGGATGGGAGCAGATGGTGTACACTTGGATTGGATTGGATTTATTCGGTGTAAACACCAAGGATAGCCCACGAAAGTCTAGAAGAAAACTTATTTCCAGTGGGGTCCTTCTGGGGGTGATTGGACAGCACACCGGGAGACAATCCCCTACTCTTTTCCGAAGAGTGCACTGTATTCTTTAACGTGCCTATGGGCCATAAATGCACACGGGACCAACGGCTTAAACGTCTCATCCGAAAGACGGTGCGCTATGTAATTTGCATTTCAGCCCTCTAGCTGAAGCACAAGGAGAGGCAGCGATGGGAATTGAACCGGGGACCTAGAGATCTCCACAATAATGAAAACTTTAGCCCGATTTCGGACAAACTCCTTCTGAATCTACGTACAGTTGACCTACTTCGTATGCATGGACGCACATTTCCACTGAACAGGATTTGGCACAGTTCATTATATATATAAGGGAAATGCACTCTAATTTTACACTCTGTAGACACTCTGAGAGACAAGCTAAGTTTGTTTATTCATGTCAAGTTTATTTCAGAATATACTGCCTCCATATACTGCCTCAATGGATTTATTGAACATGATATTTTTGCTTTTACATGGAAACATCCTGGATACATAAAATATTATTATACATAAAATACTGTATTAGGATACATAAAATAATATAAAAAAATCATGCAAAGATAAGTAAAATTATTAGGAATTTAGCACCTATTCAATATTTAATCACATACTGTATAATGTAACATAGGGGACTGGGGACTTTTAACATCTGGATACAGTAAGACAATATATTATTATATACTGCCTTTCACAGTAACAAAAGTGATTTGAAAGCATCCAGGGCAAATTATTTCTAATGCACCAAGGTTAACAATACATGACACTGTGTCTACAAATAATATTCCACTCATTCGTCTTGTTCTGTATACATACTAACAAATAATATTGAAATAGTTATTTAATAAAATAAAATATTATATATATATAAATAGGCCTATATATATATATATATATATATATTGTAATATATTGAAATATATTGAAATGTTATATATATTGAAATGTGTTGTGTGCTCCGTTATCATTTGTACATTTAATCACAATCTTTTGTAAAAACCACCATTGTTTTGTAACCTTTATTGGCTATATACCCCATGCCATGGCATATAACAACTCAGTTTTGCTTCAAATGTATTTGTATCGTAAGTTGAGAACTTAAATATACAGATTAAGTAATTTAAATACACAAACATACAGGGCCATAGGAACCACACCAGCTTTGGCCGGACGCACCACCTTTTCTAAATTCTATTACTTTCTTGTATGAATTTATTATTAATGTTTATTTTTTTATTGTTATATTAAACAAATAACACCATTTGCTTGTTTTTCTTTTATTGCCTACATTTGATCTTTTTTGAGAAGATTAGTAATTAAGAGTGATTTTGAAAATGTTTAGAGGTATAGAACAAAGACCTTATAAACACAAGATAGCGTTCTCCTCGATTTACGCATGCAAATTCTGTAATAAGGCATGAATGGCGCCATCTTGCTAAATTGGAAACTTTTGAACCTTGACCGACGCTTCTATTCGTTACGCGTAAATCGCGGAACGCTATCTTGTGTTTATAAGATTGGTATAGAATAACAATACCACACCGAATTTTCGTCAGGAGCTTTTTAATACCTGGCCTCATTCGGAGGATCGCTTTGCTCTCTGGTAGAAACTGCCAAGTTAGTCTAGCCTATACCAAATACAGAAACTACCGTACCAAATTAGTCTAGCCTATACCAAATATAAACTGCTGACTTTTTCCCCTGGGATTTTCGTTCCTGCACCCTGACCAGGGCCCTTTCATTTCTGCTTGGACTCACTTCAGTCTGCATTAGTGTCTCCATAACTCAAACCATGCCAACACCTATCAGGGGCGGATACAGGAATTAGCGAAAGGGTAGGGAGTGGGGCGCCAAAAAACGATAGATCACCTCATTATACAAGCAAAGTACATGAACTTTGTTTTCCAGAGCAAGGAATACACAAAAATATACATACAGATAAAATTACAAGACAACTATAAATTAAAAAAAACTATACAGTGCAACAAAAACCTTTAAATTAATAATATACAATAAATATTACAGTCTAAATGTTTCCTGATGATGACATAATTAATTTCGAAATATTGAATCCCAACACGATGGCGTGTATTTCAATAATTGGAGTACCGGTATGTATTATACTTTCTTATCTGAGATTAATCAGTGGACCTTTCGGTTAAATGTAAATGAGTTAACCGTAAATCTAAATGTAAATGAGTAAGACCAAATAAAAAATACAAGGTTATCAGGTGATACTTTGTTAAATAGATGACAGGCATAAGGCAAGAATGAGGAGAGGAAGATTATTCCACAAACCAGTAATTCTACAGAAGAATGAAAATTTGAAAGCATTATGAAGTGATGGCCTATGCTATTGCTCCGTCGCACAGACGCAAGTTTGAATCGTATCATCAACCTACCAAACCACTAGACACAATTTAAACATGTTACGTACATATAGGCAGCGCATGGGCGATATGCGCTATATAAGACTAACATATTATTCGCATACAATAAATATAGCTATATGAAATATTAATATCAGTTAGATTTTCACTAGTTTTTAGGCCTATCAGTACTAGTACGGTACTAGCCTACCTCCAATCAATCATTCAATCAACCTTTCTTTCGGAATTGTATCCATATAACAGTTATCTCAAAAACAAACAAAAAAATAGTAGAAAGATACACTGCAGGTATGATGGTTTTACAGGAAAAACTTTTTTTGTGATATAAGGGGAAGGAGGAACGCTCACATGCACACACCCCCCCCCCCCCCACCATTTGTCTCTGCCCATGCCAATATCATAACCATCGTCGTCACTATTGTCCTTGACACCATTATTATCGTCACATAGTCATCACCATCATTATTATCACCATCATCTTTATCACCGCCATCGATATTATTGTCATCCTCTCATCATCATTATCATCATCATTATCATCATCATCATTATTTCATAATTTTTGGCACCCAGCAGGTAAACAAATTTTCTATGGTACATGACCTCTCGATCCCTGTACAACTAACCACATTCTAACATTGTACACCTTTCTTTTATCACCTGTTGGTCGGTTCATGGAGGTATACCTAGGTATGGTCTGTCCAACAAATATATATATATGTATATATATGTATGTATATGTATATATATATATATGTTGCCTCTAAAGTTTAGTTTTGGCCTTTCTGTTTACTTGTTTAGCCTGTTTATCCTAATCTCACCCAGCCTATTGTTTCCTATCATGCTTGCATGAAATTCTCACTTTATATCATCTAGCTTTTTCTACCCTCACTCACTCGCCACTGAGGAAGGACCAGTGTTGTCCGAAAGTTTGAAAGGCAAATGGGAAAAACCCATAAAACAGCAAACGACCATATAATGCAAAACAATTTAAAATTAAAATTAAAACGGAACAGTAGAGAAAATCCGATCAGAATGATCCGCTTTGGCCTTCCAGGCCTCATCAGTGCAGCTAGGGTACAGACCCAAACGAAACGTTCGACCAGCTTAGGTAGGGCCCAAACTAGTCCTACG